CATACTGTTAAACTCGTGGTCTAAAATCTATATTTTAATGATTCGGTAATTTGAATTGGTTAATTGATTGGAAAATGAGTAGGTTTGGATTGACTTTCTTATAAGTGAGACCCAAAAATATATGTTATGGAGTTTGTAAGAGCAATAGGGTAACAACTAGGATCATTGTAAAATTTAAATGAGGACTTTTCTACAATCCATTGATATGAGAGTGTGGTACTCTAATCTTTTTGGATGGACTCCACTTAGGGATAAGTGATAATGAACACACTAAATCTAATCTTAAGATTGATTACAGGTGGTTTGAAAATGATTCAATAGTGAGTGATTTAAATAATTGTGAAATGAACTCTATATGTTTTAATGCCATTTTTGAAGTCGTTGATGCTAACAATTTTGATTTCAAGGTCGTGTAAGAGGCTTGTGACATCTTACCATAATTCCTTGAATGAACCAAGGCGACTGAGTCCACAAAATCAAAAATCTTCTCCATGGAATCTAAAAAATTGAAGGGAAAAGAAAAGGTCTTAATTGAAGATGACATAGAGAAATTATAATTGGAGAAGAATATGCTGAGATGGATGTTTTACTGTGTGAATACTGCAATGAACTCCCCTTGAAATCTCGGACTCAACAGAGAACCCTTCAGCCATTTTTAAAAGATCAGACATAAGATATTTCTTAGCGAAGTTCTCAGTTTTGGAAAAATCAAACTTAGCTGCCGGTTGTGGGGTAATTTAAAACTCTGCTAGGGAAGTAGCCATAGGTTTTTGTGAATATTATGTATAGCGGAAGATTTGATCACCAAAGGCTATTCCAGGATTAGTTTAAATCCAATAATCAAACATCTTAAGAAACCGACCCAAATCCTATAGCTATTCCCCAACTTTGGTTGCTCTTTGATGTACCCACAAAGGGTACAAGGATGAAGGTATTATTTGCAGCCAAGCAGTCAGCCACGAAGGCAGCAGTGGGGAAGAAAAGAAACAGCAAAAGTGAATCACTGAGAAAAGAGGAAGCTATTTTTTTTATCTCAATGAAGGAGCAAAATAATGCACGTACACAACCAAGCAAAGGGGCTCATATATGTAGGTTGATATTAGGTATAGTAATGGGTCAAATCCAAAACCAATAAGTGGGTCAACAGTAACAAGCCGTCTGAGGGAACGGGTCATGAGAAGCTCTAATTAAATTAGGTTGCTTCCAATGGCCCCAAATAATTTTAGGGTCGGGTCGTTATGATGTGTTGATTTTTGTTCGGTCATTTGATCAATGCCGACAAAGTAAATTATACTGATTTAACATCATCACCCAAGAGGTCGTTTGACAATATTTTTTCCAACAAACCTCCACATTGGTGTCAAAGAAGCTGCAGGGAAAAAACATTATCACCTATTAGTGACAATTGCAAAAGGAGAATCAATAAAATTGGAAATTATTTACCTCCATCGATATTTAGAAGATCCTTGCAATTTCTAAACTTCACCAGTGGCAACACCTTAGTGTCCATGTCTGAGGAGTTATATTGTATGTAACTTTTCAAGTCTTACCACCTCTTGCTGTACAATATCTCTAATGACATGCAATCTAACATCAACGTGCTTGGAGCATTTGTGAAAAATAGGAATTTTGCATAGATACATAGAAGATTGACTATCTGAATATACTGCTACTAATCATTTAAAATAAAAAGTTCATGAAGCAAACTTCTAAACCAGAAAGCCTCTTTAATTGCTTCAGTGGTAACAATATATTCTGATTCTGTAGTAGATAGTGCAACTATGTATTGTAATTGTGATTTCCAACTAAATAGCATCCTATATCTAGTATAATAGCATTGAATTCCAATTGTTGCTCTACATGAGGTGCTTCAAGAAGGATTTGTGAATTGGGCAGTGCGTAAAAGGTTAGGAGCTAAGAATGAAAATGATTTGATTCCATTATTCAAATGATAAATTTGATTTATTAGGGTACTTGCTACTTATGCCTTTCAAATTTGATACTTGTTGGCCCTTGCAAACATGCTATTTGTTAGGCAGGTCATTAAGTCAGGGTGAGTAAATTGAAAAAGAAAATGAGAAATTCAAGATGGATTTTTTCACTGCTTGCAGCCTTCAGCCTCAAAAGTGCAATTGGTATATCATTTATCTGAAGAGATCAATATAGAACTCTTTATCTGAAGCCCTATAGCGCTAAGATTTTGAACTTTTGTATATCTGGCTCAGATAAGTTGTTGATCAAGCTGAATCTCAACTCCATATACATTTCTTCCCCAGTTCCAAATCTATTAAATAAAATAATAAACTAAGAACTTCAAATAAATTTATAGTTGGCTAAACAATTTTTTTCTACAACTCCATCCTTTGGTTATTTGCTAAATAGATATGTTGGAAACATTTAAATCTTGAGAAATTGTAACCGTGAACAAATTTAAAATGCTTTGCAGTGGATTATTTTCGATAAAGATGAGTTGACGAGGCATCCAATATTTGAATTGAGAGTATTTCCAATTTCGCCATCTTCATTAATTATTTTTAAACAATCTAAAAAAAAAATTATTTATTGTGGGTTTAGTTCATATAGCCCCACTCATGTGCCTTGCCATTTAGAAACTCGACCCAAAACCAAATCCCAAGATTTGTTCAAGTATATAATGAGATAAAAGTACACCTATTCAAATGTATTAATTTCTACATCTTGTAGGTTCTTGTGTTCGGAGTAATAAACTATACATAGGTCAACACAATGAAGAGATAAAGAGCTCGACACTTAGTCCTCCGGCTAAACTTTTGCTCATCAACCAATACCTTCTTTATTTTCAAACATCTTGTAAGCAATGTTGTCACTCCGGCTTCTGTAACATCAGGGCAATAACCCGTGTTACAAGTTACCTGTCATGAGCAGTTCGGAGCAAATATAGTTGAGCACCACATTTGTTATTTGTGGACACCTTGATATCATCGAATCCTTTAATATCGAGCAGCTTTCAACTGCCGCAGTCATTCTCATGTCTCCCGGGTTATGTAAAAATGAAGAGCATCACTTCAGTTTTTTTATGAACATTGTGTGATTGCATTCCGTGATGTTAGAAGGATTAATAATCAAGATTGCCCCCATACAGTGTGAGACATCATTGAAAAAGCCCTTGATGGTAATGCTGCAGAAAGTTCATCTAGAAACCAGATGATAATTCTAGTGAATGCTGCTAGATTTCTTCATCAAATCATATTATGATGCCATTTAATGGTGGATGGTGGACAAAGTTCAGGGCCAAACCAGATGACAATTCAATCTAGACGAGTATAGATTAATACAATTAGCATGAGAAGTCATGAACGTTGTATCAATTTGTTTCTCCTGCACACATATAGAAATTATTTTAGTGAGTTTGCAGTAGTAGTCATCCATTTTCTTTCCTTATCCATCTCCATCCCACCCCTAAAACAAAAGGAACAAATTAAAGAAATAATGAACCAAAATAAATAAAGTACCACATTAGAATTGAAGATAGACGTTATTCTACATTAAAAGTATAGGCAACCTAATGCATAAACTCCCATTAGTGCATTAGTTACAAGAATAGACACTTGAGGCATGGATCTAGGGACATGATGAATTAAATGCGATGCATTAACTAAACAAAAAGAAATCGTAATAATATCAGCTCTTTCCAAATTATCAGTGAAACTAGTGGTGAATGATGTAGTAGACAGAACTAACTTACCAATGTTGAAGGCAATACGTGCAAATATACCTAGAAAGCATTCAACCGATTACTTGATTTTACCCTTTTATTTCCCCAACATAGTATTAATGTAATACAATTTACTTTTTCCACATAGATTTTGAACGGAAATATATAGTAAATGAATCAAAACTATTACTATTAGAACTATGCTACAATTTGATGTGCTGCATCAGAAAGTCAAGTCAAAGGCCAAGTCTTGAATGAAAATATAAGTTAATGAAAAGAATTTCATTCGTGCACCACAATGAAAAGAAGGATCTCCCTGAAATTACATTGGCAAAAATTTCAGAGAACAACAAACAGTGGAGGACTCATAAATATATGGACCAGAAGAGTAAGAGATTGGAGCCACAAAATATGTTAAAAAGCTTGATTGAACTGAAATTGTTTCACATAGACCTCAGAATTAGCCAACATCAACACAGGCACAATGATCTGCACTGCATATAATCAAAGTTTTCGTAATTCACATGATAAGAGTAAGGAAATGAGAGAATATTTAAGACAGATAGCTTAAGATTTATGTAGGGAATTATGTGGGTGACAGGGATTCCATATTTCTTAATGTATAAAGGATGACTAACTTGTTAGTCAATTTCCCTCAGCTGTATAGCACCAATAACTCTAAAACTAAACAAAAACTTCCAACGGCTTGCAAAGCCTCACCTCTATGTTTCTGAACACTAGCTTCACAGATATCGAAAGAAGACATCCTTTGGCCAAAGAAATCAAAAGAGGCCATCCTTTGCATGCTTCAAAACTATTTCTATTAGAACAATGCTACAATTTGATGTGCTGCAACAGAAAGTCAAGTCAAAGGCCAAGTCTTGAATGAAAATATAAGTTAATGAAAAGAATTTCATTCGTGCACCACAATGAAAAGAAGGATCTCCCTGAAATTACGTTGGCAAAAATTTCAGAGAACAACAAACAGTGGAGGTCTCATAAATATATGGACCAGAAGAGTAAGAGATTGGAGCCACAAAATATGTTAAAAACCTTGGTTGAACTGAAATTGTTTCACATAGGCCTCAGAATTAGCCAACATCAACACAGATCTGCACTGCATATAATCAAAGTTTTCGTAATTCACATGATAGAGTAAGGAAATGAGAGAATATTTAAGACAGATAGCTTAAGATTTATGTAGGGACTTATGTGGGTGACAGGGATTCCATATTTCTTAATGTATAAAGGATGACTAACTTGTTAGTCAATTTCCCTCAGCTGTATAGCACCAATAACACTAAAACTAAACAAAAACTTCCAACAGCTTGCAAAGCCTCACCTCTATGTTTCTGAACACTAGCTTCACAGATGTTGAAAGAAGACATCCTTTGGCCAAAGAATTCAAAAGAGGCCATCCTTTGCATGCAGAAAGAAAGCCTCCGTCATGGTCGAACTCTGAATATAATGATAAAGTTTCAAGAGATTTGTAGTGAATTGCCACATTTTCTAGTGAGACATCAGAAAGACATGGACATAGATAGGTAGCAAGAGCAACCAATCCAGTGCCAGACAAACTTTTGCTACAACAAAAATTCAAATCTTCTTGTCGAGTATAATTTTCCCCAATAGCAGCTGGATCTTTATATCCAACATAGCACTCCTTTAAGAAAAGGGCGTAACAAAACATTAGGCACAGCATTTAACATATCCAGGAATCATAATTTAATCATAGATAATTTCTAAACTCAATTTACATATAGTATTTTAAAACCCAAATGAAAAACGCGCCTAAGGCTATGTTTAATACGAGGGGAAAATGAGAAGGGACTTTCTATCCAATGTGATTAGATATATGTTTAGTTGATAGAAAAGAAAATAATACTTTAGATCCAATGTCCATCCCTTTCTAAGCTTCCCCTCTAATCAACCAAGGGAAACTATATTCCCCCGGCATCTTTCCTCTACTCATTATCATTCCATACAAATTGAACATCAATATATTCCAAAGAAAAAGTGCAAGTAGAAAAGCCAGCATCATTATCTAAATTCGCATACAATGCAAATGAACTTCATTGATTTCATGGTAGCTAGTCAATTTTTGGTCCATATCAGATTACTGCTCAAACGAAATTCGGATGATAGAATGGAAAATCCATGCAAAATATGGGCAATCACCTGTAAACCCAAAGACTTCAGCATTTTACGTTTCTCGGCAATAGATAGTAGCCTAAAGTTGCATTATGGCACCAAATCAACCTTAATCTCAAGTTTCACAAAGCCATGTCCTACAGCAGTCAACTTTGAATCTCATAAACAACACTTTCTGATGCCATTTTCTTTGGACTTACGTTACCAATAAGAGGGCATTAACCATGGAGAAATTCTCCTTCCTGCATCAAGGGCAAAGGAAGACACATTTTAAAAAGTAGAATAACAGGCCAGTAAGAATTAAACTTAATGCAGTTTTAAAATAATTACATGTAACACTACCAAGATGAAGTTAATTGTTACAAACATTCTAGTTCTCATCTAAGCTGCCATAAACTGAAATTTTAAAATTTCCTAATCAAGGGAACAATTTTTTTGACTTTAAAAAAAGTAAAATAAAAAAAATCTTAATCATCACATCCAAATCCACTAATATATAAATCACATTATCATAACTCAAATTTGTCAATTGAAATGTTAAAAAATTCCCAATATCATAAAGTTAAACCCAAACGGTCAATTTTATGGGGAGGGAAAGAGGGGTTGGTGTTAATCTACCTAGCACCACAATCATCTCAAGCACAAGGCAATATCACAAACAGATGCTAAATAAACTAAAAAGAAGAAATCGGAAAAAAGCAAGCTATATGTTCACCGTTGGAGCTCCACGGAGGTGGATTAATACTCCCTTTGCACTATTTTCACAAAAATAGAATTACAAAATAGTTTAGAGAAAATACACCGCACAGTCTACACAAGACCAGATGATTCCATACCAGCCTCGACAAAAAAGTCCCCCTTGTATGCAATATACACCAAGAGAATCAATAAACTGTAAAGTGACTACCGACTAGACAATAATCTCAATGTAATCTTAACTCAAGAAGATGAAACTTCGTCAGAAATTAAGAAGAACCAAGAGAGTGATTGATAGCTTAATAATGGCTGCGCATAGCAAAAATTCATGCGAAAATGAACCCTAGAATCTCTTTTGGAAAGTACTATATACTCCTCACCAAAGGCTGAGATCTTCTTCAGTAGATCCAAGGGCTGAGGTTCAAACGACCTTTTATTTTGTTGCACCAGAAAAGTTGCTTTTCAGTGTAAATTTGTAACGACAAAGCACGTTTTCTTCTTCTCTCTTTTGAGTCACAATAGACTCTACAAGAGGCTTTCGTAGTATATCTAAAAACTTAACTGATAGGGAGAATGGGGAGATTGTTAATATATACATTTTGGGGCATTTACAATGTCCAACTGGGAACCTCACCTTTGTGTTTTTCTAAATTGGTGGATGTCATCACGTCTTAGTCTATTGAGACCAAGCTATGTGTTGTTGACAAGAGAGCAAGCATCACCGCTAGGCTATTAATCAATGTCAAAAAATCTACATAACTATTCACCTAATAATTTCGAACTTATCAGATCTTATCGTCTCATTTTATTGTGTTTTTACAAATATAGTTTCTAACATAAGATATACACAAGAATGCTACACACATATAGTGTAACACATTTACTGGGGCTGATTTGGGACGTCAAGAGAAAAAGGAAACATACAATAATGTCTTTATAAGGAAGGTATTGGAAAAATATTTATACCTTTCCACCACTTGTGCGTTAATTTGGGGATAATTAATATCTTGTTCTTTCTTCCAAATTTGGAAATATAAGGGTCGAAATAAAAATCGAAAATATGTATGTTGTGATTCTATCATTGTTTTCTAGAACATTTTAGTAAACTGAAAACAGACAAAAATTTTATTTCCTAGTTGGTAAATATGTCAAATTACAAGATGGACAAGCTCATTAACTTGTAATAATCATCAATTCGTATAGATCATTCTAGTACATTAATTATGCATTGACTTGAGAAAATAAAGATTCGTAACACCCTATTTCCTATGTTAACCTCATGGCCAAGTGTTCATCTTCACATTCACAAATATTCATTAAACCTATTATTTTTAGGAAAAAAAAGATTTTTTTATCAAGTAATGCACTATAATGTCCGATACAATGTCAAATACTTCATTAGCTCTTATAATTTCCATTACCAATACAAATGAAAAATTTTAAAGATTAGCCTTTAATTAAATCAAATAAAGAAGGACAACTTTATCTTATCAAAACTACATAAAAAGGTCAAAAGATTAAATATTTCAGAAATTATAGTCTCGCTGAATCAAGTAACATCGTCCCATCTTTAATCAGTTATGTAAAACATTTACAACCTCTACACAAAACCTTGAATCAAATTCATAATCATACCACAAATCCAAATAAAATAACACACCACAAAATTGAATACTTGCGGATTTGAGAGCGATGACTTGCACACCAATGACCCAGCTTCTCGGTTCTCATCCAGTTCCAGGTACCACAAGATTTTCACCATTAATTCTTTGGGCAGAAGAACGTTTGTCCAATCAAATCTCCTCATTTTCACGACAATTTTAGGAGAGTTGAAATGGATGAAAACTTTTCTTACTCTATTTTCACAACGATTTAATTAAATCCCCTCATTTTCTTTGGTCCTGTCCATTAGTCAGTGTATTTATAGACACCAGTTGTGCATTGTGAGAGAGATCGAGTGAAACTAAACATGCAAATATGGATGAATTTTTAAAGAAATTTCGTACAGGGAAAATGAAAATTAACATTTTTATAATCTGTGGGCAGAGTTTTTTTTGTTTAGTTGGTATAGTTCAAATTGTTTTCCAATGATGAAGAATATATAAATAATATAGGTTATAGATTGATGTCTCCTAAATAGTTACTTTAGATTGATGAGTCCCTAACTATCATTGCTAACTTTAAGAAGAATGCAATGCTAATTTATTAACATTGTTGTTCATCTAATCATTTATTTTTCAAAAAATTTCATCGAACTATAAAATGCAATTGATACTGCACAGATTTCTTCAGCCAGTTCTGATAGATCAGTGAACAAATCAGAGGATAAATTGTCAGCTATTTATGCTGACCTTTGCACCGAGCTGAAAAATGAGACTGATAGGAACTTGACTTCGGAATCCTTAGTGGTAATAATAAAAGTGAAAAAGGGGATGTCTGTGGAAAAAATTAAATACGCTTGAAAAAATTCTAGGAGAGGAAAGTTTTCTTTCATGTCAACTTGCTAGCTGAACTTAATAACTAGAAAGAAGTATTAAAACTTCTCATAATTGGACCACGCATTTGGAGGTGTTAACCTTTGGAAGAACTACCAGTACTCGACTCTGACTAGGCTATGTCAACTGTGGAGAAGAAAAATAATTTAAAAAGGTACTTTTTGTGAAGGGAAAAAATTCCAGATGCAAAACCAAGTTCTAATTCTGTCCCAGTTCGAGCCAACAGTGTCACTGGAACTTCTCCTTCAGCTCTAACTAAGATTGAAACTTCTCCTGCAGCTCTGACTAAGATTGGAACTTTTGGTACTGTTCATAACACTAGAACTAGCTAAAGGAAAAAGTCTCAGGTCAGACCTTGGTAAGCTATCTGTTAAATGCACTTCTCTTCATATTTTCTTCCACTGTGGTCAAAATGGTCATATTAAATTTTAATGTTCAGAATTTTTGAATATGACTCCAAATTAAAGTCGGAAAAGATTTGCACATATACCTAAGAGTTACAATCACCTATGGTAAGCCTTCCATTGTTAGTATAAAAATTAGAACATTCAACACAGAAAAATGTAAATGAAATTTTGAAATTTTGAGTGTGTAGGGAAACATAGAATTTTTCTCACGTGCTTTTCTCGTGGTGTTAAAGGTCAAAAAAGGTTAAAATGTTATAAATTCTTAAATGTGAAAATTAAAAGCATAGCATATAGGAGAACCTTCTAATCAGCATAAACCAAGGTCTAAATTCAAAAGTAACCAAGTCGGGTTAGAAAGACCGATTTTAAATGTGTTGAAGGTGAAGTGGTCTGTGTTGTACCCACTCAAACAAAGAATCAATTGGCCTATTTAATCACTAAGGTTTAAGTACTATTTTCTTTGAGGCTCTTAGAAAAGCTTTAGAAATTTTTAGTGTCCATTGTTACTTGATTTTGAACTAGTAGTGTAATCTGCCTTATGGGTTTTTAGCTTGTTGATTGCCTTATTCAGTTCATCATGTGTTCTAGGCTGTGATTTTCTTTAGAGTGAACTGCATTGATATTTGTAGTGAATTAATAGCAAGATAATGAAAATAATGAAATAAACAAACAAAAGACAAAAACGTTGAGATTTATATTGAAACCCAAGATAGGAAAAAACTACAAGCAGATGAAGAGAAATTCACTATAATCAATATTAATTGTGTTTACAATATCAACATATCAATACACTCAATTGAAATTTAAGTTCTCTAACTCTGAAGATGTTGTATGAATATCATAATCTCAATGCAAGTCGTGGAGAATATATATGAACTCTAAAATCCAAGTTATAGATGAATAGGGTTAGACCTTTTGTTGTTACTAATGTTTATTATGAG